GCAGACAATACATTTACAATTATACTAACATGAATGTATTAAATGATCTGTATGTAGCCCTGTACTATGGATCATTTAACCCATTCATGTTAGCAGAGGATCATTGTAAATGTATTGTTGCAGGCACTCTATATGTACATGTACTATATACTACATATAGAGTGCACTGAACAATAGATTTACAATTATCCTCTGCTAATATGAATGGGTTAAATGATCCGTAGTACATGATATGTAGCCCTGTACCCCCTTTTCCACTTACAGAGCTAGGTTATTTTTCTTTTAAATAAATATTAATGTATTTTAATGGTATCTATCTACCAGTAGCTGCCTCATTTCCCACCCTCGGCTTATATTCGGGTCAATACTTTTCCCCAGTTTTTTGTGGTAAAATTAGGTACCTCGGCTTATATCGGGACGGCTTATACTCGAGTATATACGGTATGTGTCTTCTTTTTTACCTATTTCACATACACTGTCCCTCCCCCCGTTAACTTGTGTCTATCTTTAACCTTAATAATTTTTAGTGTTTCAAAATTACTTAATTTATTCCTTGAAATTCCTTGATGTTCCCCTTTTGGGCAATCTCTTCTGCCCTGCTTCTGGGCATTAGTTTGATCCCCTGTTGCATCCCCTTAGTCATTAGTAGCTTCCCTTGTCTTGCAGGGGGGCTTCACGTCATCTAATGGACGCACTCACCCAGATCCAATGGACAGAAAGGAGGTGGAGTGGGAATCCTTCTATCCCCTCAATGCACTTTTCAAGTTCTGCCTTCACCTCCCTCTCTACCCCTCTCCTCTTTTGAAACCCACTGCATTCGCCTATTCTCTCCAACTTCACTGAGGATTGCTGTTGTATACCGGCCACCAGGACCAGTATCTCGCTTTCTGGATGACTTCTCTGCCTGGCTACCCTACTTTCTCTCCTCAGAAATACCCACTATCATTCTTGGTGACTTTAACATTGCTACTAACATTAACACCCCAGCCTCTGCTCAATTTCTTAACCTAACCTCTTCTTTTGATCTAACACAATGGTCAAACACTCCTACTCACTCTGATGGTAACATACTAGATCTTGTTTTCTCCCACGTATGCACTACTTGCAACCTCTCCAACACCCCTTTCC